TTTTCCTCTTCCTTTTTTTTCTTTGTGTGTGTGTGTATGTGTGTTCTTGTCTTTCGCGTTGCCTCTTTCTCGCTCTATAAAGTTGCTGTCTTTTCTGCGATGGGCTCCATCTCGTGCGTGCGTGCGTGCGTGCGTGTGTGGGGGGCCGCACTCCTTCTTGCGCCCCATGCCACGCCGGCAAGGAGCGAGGAGGGAGGTAGAGGGAGAAGAGAGCAGGGGCGGGGCTGAGGCAGCAGCCGCAGCAGTGAAAAAAAAAAAAAGAAACGGGCCCCCTCGTAACTTGCGGCAAAGCATGCGTCTCTCTTTCTCGCTGTTTATCATTTTATTCGTTGGTCTCTCTCTCTCTTTTTTTTTGCTTGCTTGCTCCGCCCAATTGCAATACGCGCCGCCGCGGAAGCTCAGGCCCGTCCAGACCCGGCATTGCAACAACTAGAGCCGTTGCCGACGCATCCCCCCCGACGCACTCATGCTTCGTCATTCCTGCCGCATTTTGTGCGCCCCTGTGGAGCGGATGGTGGAGGAGTTTGACGTCGTCATTGTGGGCGGCGGCCCCGCGGGACTGGCTGCGGCCATCCGCCTGAAGCAACTCGCCGGCGAGGCCAGGGATGACTTTCGCGTTGGCCTCGTGGAGAAGGGGAGCGAGGTTGGGGCGCACACGCTCTCGGGTGCCTGCATTGAAACACACGCGCTCGATGAGTTGTTGCCGGATTGGCGCAAGGCCACGGATCTGCCCACCATGACGGCGGTCACGCGTGATGCCTTGTACTTTCTCAGGGACAAGGAGCGAAGCGTCAAGTCCCCGCTGCTCCCCCCAACGCTGCACAACCGCCACTCCTGCATCACCTCTCTCGGCTCGGTGTGCAAGTGGCTGGGGGAGCGGGCGGAGGAGCTGGGGGTGGAGTTGTACCCGGGCTTTGCCGCCGCGCAGCCGGTGTACGACGGCAGCGGTGCCGTGCTAGAGGGGGTGCAGCTGAATGATGTAGGCATCAACAAAAAAGGTGAGCGGACGCCTCAGTATGAGCCTGGTATGATATTCAAAGCAAAGCAGACTATATTTGCCGAGGGGTGCCGTGGGTCATGCACAAAGCAGCTGGAGAAAAAGTTTGGTCTCCGTGGGGAGGGTAACTTTCAGACCTACGGCATTGGCATCAAGGAGGTGTGGGAGGTGCCGGCGGAGGCGCATCGCCCCGGCACCGTGATGCACACCATCGGCTGGCCCGTGACTGACAAGGGCCACGAGAACACCTACGGCGGCTCCTTTATGTACCACTACGGCGACGGATTAGTCTCCCTCGGCTTCGTCGTTGGCCTGGACTACAGCAACCCCTACCTGCGCCCGTACATGGAATTGCAGAAGTGGAAGACGCACAGGTTGGTCTCCTCCCAGCTGAAGGATGGGAAGCCGTTGCTGTACGGCGCACGCTCCCTCGTGGAGGGCGGCTACGTCGCCCTGCCCAAGTTGCATTTCCCAGGTGGCGTTCTCGTTGGCGACTGCGCCGGATTTCTCAACCTGCCGAAGATCAAAGGCACCCACACCGCGATGAAGTCTGGCATGCTCGCGGCGGAGGCGGTCTACGAGGAGGCCTTCGCCTCGGGAAGGGAAAAGCGGGACGGGGTGGAGTGCAAGAGCTACGACGACCGGTTCCGCAGCAGCTGGCTGCACAAGGAGCTCTACGCGGTGCGCAACGTGCGGCAGGTGTTTGCCCGAAACTTTTTCCAAGGCGTGTTGTACACGGGCTTCACAACAACCTTCACGCACGGCCTGGAGCCCTGGACGCTCGCGCACCACCGGCCAGACCACAAGGCACTCAAACCCGCCGCGGAGTGCACGCCAATCGACTACCCGAAACCCGACGGGAAACTCACCTTTGACCTACTCACCAACCACAGCCGTAGCGGCACCGCACACAACGCCGATCAGCCGGCGCATCTCAAGCTGAAGGACCCATCCGTGCCGGAGAATGTGAATCTCCCCAAATACGACGGCCCCGAGGGGAAGTACTGCCCCGCGAAGGTGTACGAGTTTGTGGAGGGGAAGCTCGTCATTAACGCCCAGAACTGTCTGCACTGCAAGGCGTGCGACATTAAAGATCCCACGCAGAACATAAACTGGACGGTACCGGAGGGAGGCGGCGGTCCGAACTACAGTGCACAGATGTGAGCTTTTGCCTGTTTTATTGTAGTCGTTGATTGTTGTTGTTTTGCGAGCCCTAGTACAAATGTGCATACGTGAATTATATATCTATATGTATGTGTGCATGTGTATGTATAGATGTACATGATGCGTGTGCCTCGTTGTACTTTTTGTACTCGTGGTTAGGCAGAACGTTTGAGGAGTCTTTTTTTTTTTGCTCTTCTTTTTTATTTATTTT